CCCCAAAACCCCAAAACCCCAAAACCCCAAAACCCCAAAACCCCAAAACCCCATTCCTAAATAATTTAGTTGAACCATTTTTAATGATCAATTACTCATCTTTCGTTTCTTCGAAGCAGACAGCATTATCAGTGATGAACTTCTGGAAGGTAGTATTTGTCTCCATTTCTGGAATTTCATTCATCTTCTCTAGAACCTTGGTAGCAATTCTCATAGATGTCTTTGTAGTTCCCTTGGCTGGCTCCTTCAGGATCTTTGGTAGCTTGTCAAGGATATTACTCATCTGTCCGACAACAGCTCCTGGAGCCCACTTGATCATCTTCAAGAGGATGTGTAGGGTCTGAGAGCAGCAGTCATCATCAGGGTCAGCAAGACCAACAAGAATCATATCATTAATGATTGGAACATTGATTCTTTCAGGAATTTTCTCAAAGATGGTGTCTAATAAAACAAATCCAGCTTTCCTGATTGGTCTACCTTCATCAATCTTGTGCTTGAATGGTCCAAGATCTACTTCCTTAATAAGCTCCTTGTGGACTTCAATCTCGTTAGACAAGATCTTGTAGATAGTGTCAATATCGTTCTTCAACAGCATTGGTAGATGGTGAGTGATAGATACCAAAGATTCAAGTGTATACTGTCTGATGACATGCTCTGAATCGGTAGCTAGCTCAATGATATCTGGAATGAAGGAATTCAATGCTGTTGTATCCATACCTTTATGTACACAGTACTTGAAGGATTTAGCAACAGTTGCTCTAACAACATGATTAGATGACTTAATCTTATCCTCAAGATCACTCATCATTTCTAGACCAGCAAGATTGAAGAGTTTTCCAAGGCACTCGGAGATGACATTTCTAATCTTTTCCTCAGAATGAGCAGCGTTTTCGTATAGAATTTCAGAGATTTCCTTGGAATGGTCTCCGACACATTGCTGTTTAGTCTGAATAATTTCTCTAATTGACATAAGTCTGAGATACTTGTTCTTCTCTTCACATTCAACAATAATTTTAATGACCTTTGGAAGGAAATATCCGAAGTTTCCAATACAGATACTTCCTAGGCATTGTGAAGCAGCTTGCTTGATATCAATCTCTGGACTGGCAAATAAGGAATCAACTGATTCAATGATGTTCTTGACTGAAGAGAGATCGTTTAGCTTACCGATCTCTCCAAGGATAAGAAGACTGACCACAACAGTTCTAGTGTCTGAACTCTTAAGCCCCTTCAAATACTTGGTAGTGAAGGTAGTATTCAATTCACTATAGTTGTGGATCATTATAGCAATGCATGAAGCTGGAACGGTCCTCTTGATGGTCACAGCTTCTTCCAAGAAAGTAATGAAGGACTCAAAGTCAAGAGAAGAGTTGTTCTTAGACAGGTGATCAAAGAAACCAATAATATTTCTCTTAGTCTTCCCTGTTAAGAAAGTTGACTCTGTCAAACTAGTTACTTTTACAACAGTATCTTTCAGTGCAGATGGAATCAATTCGAAGGATGTCAGAATGCAAAGAAGTTTTAAAGCATAATCTGCAACTTGTAGATTCTCATTTGTGATGATTGAAAGGGTTGAGGTCAACACATCAGCAATTTTAGCCTTTCCAATAGCTGATCCATACTTTCCTATATACCCGCTGAGTACTTGCAAGGAGTAAATTTTTACATTGTTGTCTGCTTTGGATAAAAGTGGGCTTACTGCTTCCACAAAGGAAGAAGAGTATGAGCTTAAGTCACAGTCTGATTCACAGACTCTATGCATTGCTTTCAAAGCAGTGACTCTCTTCATATCATTGCTAAGCTTCTCAGTCAGAATATCAATATCATTCTTGATTTCACTGCTGGTGAGAGAAGAATGACAGCTGGAAAGGAGGTGAGAGACTGCAATAATGGCGTTTTCAGAAGCATCCATACATGTGATTGCAACTTCATTTAATTTACCAACACTATCATCACTTGATCCGGTAAGTATCTTGGTGAAGCAGCTGGTAGCCAGGAGACCTTCAGCTTTAACTGAGAAATGATCGTTCTTAAGACTTGCCAGAATGATATCTAGAACAACCCCAGCGTTTGCTTTTACACTTCCCTCATCTTTAGCGTATTGGAGAAGAGATTTTAAAGAAGTCAAGGCAGGTACAATTATTGCAGTATTGTTCTCATCAATCACTGATTCCTTGATAATTGGAAGAAGGTCTTCAAAGAAAGGTACTAATTTCTCTCTCAGTGCATTAGTTATCTGTGATAGACACTCGATGATAGAAATCTTCACAGCAACGTTTTTAGTGTTGGTCTCTTTAATTAAAGATTGGACAATAGTTGGAACCTGGGAGTAAAGTTCTTCAACACTACTTCTTCTTTTCACCATCTGTCCAATGGAAGGTTCTAGATCCTCCAAAGTGTCCTTTGAGAATGACTCAACATTAGTGGTCTTCAAAAGAATAGAGAAGGTATCAAACACTAAAGATTTAATCTTATTTTCTCTTTCCTTAAATCTGGTAACTAGCTTAGTGGAAACGTCTGAATACAAAGCCCTAAGCATTTCTGGTCTTGTAGTGGTAACTGAGATGATAAGATTGAGGGAGCCTCTTCTTACTTTCCATGAGGTATCATCATCTTGGATTTCATCATCGTCCATTTCGTCTTCATCATCCCATGCTTCTCCCTCATCGTCCATATCAGCATCATCTTCAATATCGTAGTCATAGATTGGATCGTAGGTCATCTTTTCTTGGGCAACTTTCAGAAGCTTATCGATGTAGCAGGTGATCTCTCTTGGGCAATGCTTAATCAAGGACACGAAGCAGTTAAGAGCTTCTTCAGCAATCTCATTTTGTTGATCATTCGAGTTCTCTGAGTCTAGAGAGTCACAGATTTTAATCAAGTTCATGATGAGAGATTCTAGATATCCTCCTAATTTGTATCCGATTTTCCTCGATACCCATGACAAGGCTAAGATGTAGTAGAACAGAAGAGAATCATCCTTCATGTTGTCGTTAATGGATCCTACCAAGTTTTCCATTAATGCCTGAATATTTGAAGAGGACAGTACCACTGAGAGGCATCCAATAGCGTAAGCTACCTTCTTCTTCAATGTGTATGGAGATTTGCTTGATAAGATTTTGAACAAATATCCAAGTATGACTTTTTCCTTTATCAAGCTAGAGTCATGAATGATCTGACTTGCGAATCTTTTCAGAAGTTCACTGAGCAACTCAGAACATTCTTCCTGCACTTCTTCGTCGTCTGACTTAATTCCATTCTGAAGAATGGGATAGCATGAGGAAATCACAGTGGGAGCATAAGGATCTGTCACTTCTGCCATGATAGATTTACAACAGATGCAGTAAATATCTCTGAAATCCTTATCCTTGGTAATAATACAGTTTGCAACAACAGATAAGATATTTCCAAGGTTATCTTCTCTAATCTTAGAGGCAATTTTAGCCAAACACTGGACTGCCTTTCCTTGTACCTCAGTTGAGTTATCGTCAAGTTGCCTAATAAAGGCGTCGATGCACTTCCTTTCTCTCTCAGCATCAAGAATACCTGCTTCAGAAGTAATGAGGTTACATAGATCTGATGCTCCCATGTACCTGTTATCCTTATCGTAATGTTCCATCTCTTCGAGATAGTGATTTATTTTAGATGCCATCTTTTTAATTAATTATACAAAAATTATTTCACACTAAAATACTCCAATTCGTACTCTAAGTGTAGGGGTTTTGGGGTTTTGGGGTTTTGGGGTTTTGGGG